ATTCCCGCTCGCCATCTTGATCTCAGCTCGATCGGGTACCTTTTACTGCCAAAAAGCACACGGGCGGGATCGGCCGTTTCGAGTCATCTTGTCACGCGGTGACGGTTTTCTCAAGATAACTCGAGCTTCAGGACAGCTTCAGAGCTGGTAAGCACACCTAATCGGTTCAGAATGATCAGGCGCGTTCGCCTGTTGAAGCCAGAGGTCTGAACTCGGTTTGCTAGCCGAGCTAGGGCCGCAAACCTATTCGTATTATTCGAGTCATCTTGACAGACGCTCTCGGTTTTCTGTACTTCACTCGAGCTACAAGACAGCTACATAGCTGATACGTACAAAATCTGATTCAGAACTCATCCATGGCCGTTGTCTGTTGAAATCAGAGCTCTGAACTCGGACCTGCTGCCGAACTAAGAATCGCGAAACTATTCGTATTGAGGAGCAACTGAGAGATGCTGTCGGTTCTCTGCCACAACTCTGGCAGTAGGGGGGCTGCAAGGCTGGAAATCCTGACCTCGATACGGGAGACAACAGGCGCGTCCGCCTTTCGAATCCAGAGCTCCGAACCAGTCTGCAGCCCGAACTAGGCCGCGAAACAATTCGGTATTGTTCGAGTCATCCTGAGAGGTGCTGTCGGCTTCCTGCACTTAACTCGGGCTGTTGGGGGTCTGCAGGGCTGGTAATCACAGGAATCGATTCAGAACATCAGACGCGTCCGCCTGTCGCATGCAGAGGTCTGAACTCGGTCTGATACTCGAGCTAGGTTTGCCAAACTATTCGTATTGTTCGAGTCATCTTGAGAGGTGCTGTCGATTTACGCACGTAACTCGGGCTGTAGGAGAGCTACAGAGCTCGTGCAGAAGACAATCCAGAAGCATCGGGGGCGTTCGGCTGTTGCATCCGAGAGGTCTGAAATAACTCGTAGAGCTTCCCGTGGCAAGTTATTGCTGGAAGCTTAAGAGTAATTCCGGGGCGCTGGAGAGCTAGTTGGCAAGAAAAATCTCGACGGACCTTTTGGTGACTTTTGGTCGGTTGAAAATTTTGTTCTCAAAATTCAACCATTCGTTAGAGCTCTAATATTTTTTCCCGTGATATTCGATCTTATTCCCGCTCGCCATCTTGATCTCAGCTCGATCGGGTACCTTTTACTGCCAACCGGCGGGATCGGCCATTTCGAGTCATCTTGATACGCGGTGTCGGTATATTGAACTTAACTCGAGATATAGGACAGCTACAGAGCTGGTACGCACACCTTATCGATTCAGAATGATCAGGCGCGTTCGGCTGTTCCAACCAGAGGTCTGAACTCGGTCTGCTAGCCGAGCTAGGTCCGCAAACCTATTCGTATTATCCGAGTCATCTTGATAGGCACTCTCGGTTTTCTGTACTTAACTCGAGCTATAGGACAACTACAACAGAAACCGATTCAGAATGATCAGTCGCGCTTGTCTGTTGAATCGAGAGCTCTGAACTGGGCGCCGGCGGTAAACCGTCAACCTTGGTTACCGCCGGGAGACTCGTAGAGCTTCCTTGCCATATATATATATACATATATATATATATATATAATGTATATATATATATATGAATAGCATGTGCGAGCGGCAACAATATATGTATATAGATACATGTATCCCTGTGTTGATTGTCGTCCAAACCGATTGTAGCGATCGAGTAGCCTCGTCGAAGTCGCCCGTCGTCGTCGTCGTAGGCAAGAGTCCGCTGTGGGCTGCCAGTGACCGCATCCAAGAAATCGCGATTTCTGAATCGCTTCTTTGTTGCAGTCGGTCTGTTTCGAGACGAGCACTGCAACACCATCACATGCGCCGACATGACATCCGAGATTGGCCCGAGCATCTCGTCTTGCGATTAGAGGAGTAAGAGAGAGAGAGAGAGAGAGAGAGAGAGAGAGAGAGAGAGAGAGAGAGAGAGAGAGAGAGACAGAACAGAGAATGATGAAGATGAAAGAAGGAGGAGAGAGAGAGAGAGAGAGAGAGAAGAGAGAGAGAGAGAGAGAGAGATAGAGAGAGAGAGAGAGAGAGAGAGCGAGAGAGAGAGAAGAGAGAGAGAGAGAGGAGATAGAGATAGAGAGAGAGAGAGAGAGGAGGAAGCGAGGAGAGAGAGAGAGAGAGAGAGAGAGAGAGAGAGAGAGAGAGAGAGAGAGAGAGAGAGAGAGAGAAAGAAGAGAGGAGAGAGAGAGGAAGAGAAGAGAGAGAGAGAGAAGAGAGAGAGAGAGGAGAAGAGAGAGAGAGAGAGAGAGAGAGAGAGAGAGAGAGAGAGAGAGAGGAGAGAGAGAGGAGAGAGGAGAGAGAGAGAGAGAAGAGAGAGAGAGAGAGAGAGAGAGAGAGAGAGAGAGAGAGAGGAGAAGAACGAGAGAGAGAGAGAGAGAGAGAGAGAGAGGAGAGAAGAGAGAGAGAGAGAGAGAGAGAGAGAGAGAGAGAGAGAGAGAGAAGAGAGAGAGAGAGAGAGAGAGAGAGAAGAGAGAGAGAGAGAGAGAGAGAGAGAGAGAGAGAGAGAGAGACAGAGAGAGAGAGAGAGAGAGAGAGAGAGAGAGAGAGAGAGAGAGAGAGAGAGAGAGAGAGAGAGAGAGAGAGAGAGAGAGAAATCAATTCCATACGCATACCCAGTCCGCCCCCGTGCCTCTCGGCACCGAGTGCGCGGGCCCTGAGGTCCTTTTCCCAATCCATCTTGCCTCAGTCCTCAATCCTGAGGAGTCTTTCAGAGCCCCAGACCCCAAAGTGCCAAATCGTCTTAGACTCGGCGCGACCCCCCTGGGACTTGCCCCCAAGACGCGCTAAGGGAGCCCCAAGAGGCGCGAAGACGGCCCACGAAAGCCCCGAAACGCCCGGCGAGCGCTCCACGACGCCCAAGGAAACTAAACCTACTCCTCCTCGAACCTCGAAGGGGAGGAGGAGAACGAGGACGTCGGAGAGGCAGTGCCTCGCTGCTTCCCCAAATGAGCGCAGCTGGAGGCCGCCCACACATGTGGTCGGCGCACATGGGGGCCCGAGAGGACGGAGGACGGAGGCGCGGCGGGCCCCCCTTCCGGCGCCCCTCTTCGAAGGTTTTTGGGCCCCTCTTCGAAGGTTTTTGAGCCCCTCTTGGGCCGTCTTGGAGGCCTCCTGGGCCGTCTTGGAGCCCTCTGTGGACCATATTCGGGCCCTCTTGGGAGCCTCTCGGGCCCTCTTGCAGCAATGTTCGGGGCCGCTCGGGCCGTCTTGGGACATCCGGAAGCGGAAAAGGTGGAAACGCAAAAACCTGTCCAGAACCTTAGAAAAGGAATGTTTTTGTCCTCTTGGGGCCCTGTTGGGAATGCTCCTGGAAGCCTCTTCGGGCGTCTGGGGCCATCTTCGTCGTCTCGGAGCGATCTTGTGGCATCTGGGAGCAGTATTGAACCATCTTGGGAAGCTCTTGGCGGTCTGTTGGCGCTTGCTCGGGCAAAAGAGCGGATCGGAGCATGATGAGTCTGAGCATGGGTGAGTCTGGACTCGAGTGGGTCTGAGTGAAAGAAAGTGCGAGTGTGAAGGGGTCTGAGCGCGAGTGAGTCGAGCGTGAGCGGGCATGGATGTGAAGCAGTCTGAGTGCGAGTAGGTCCCAGGGTGAGTTGCCAACAGAGCGCATTGATGAGCAGAGGCCAAGGCGAGGCTGTCAGAGAAACGAACGTGGTCAGCACACCCCTCCAGTGGATCGTGCCTCCGGGGGTTGCACATCCACCGACCCCACGCGCATGGGGCCAAGGGGGGCTCCGAATCCGCCATCCCCACATCTCAAGCGTCAGGCGCGCGCCTCCACCGACCCCCTCGTGCGGGGTCACCGGCGCATTCTCATCGTCCTCTTCCTCCTCCAGTTCCTTCTCCTCCTCCTCCTCCTCCTCCTCCTCCTCGCTCGTCTCCCTCGTCCTCGTCGTCGTCGTCGTCGTCCTCCTCCTCCTCCTCCTCCTCCTCCTCCACCTCCTCCTCCTCCTCCCCGTCCTTCTCCCCCCCCTGTCTTGTCGAGTCACGGCGGAAATCCCCAGTAGAGGTTTTATTTTCCATTCCAGCCGCGCGCAGCGGTGGCAACGAGAGAAGGGAAGGGACAGAGGGGCAGGCGGGCCCCCCGCAAAGGGCTAGAGGGGCCTCGCGGGCCGTCTTGGGACATCGGGAAGCGGAAAAGGTGGAAACGCCAAAACCTGTCCAGAACCTGGCTCCGCGCCAGCCTGCAGGCCCCCTCGCTCTTATCCGCAAGTGCGGGGTGCTCCGCATTTGAAAACCTCCCCACGTAAACCGGCCAAACAACTCCGAATGCAGATGCCGATGCCTCGCGGAGGTGCATTGATGTAACATCTGTAACGATCCGTCGGCCCCTTGGGGGTCCTTGGCATGCGAAATAAACGCCCCTCCCGAAACGTCCACCCTGGTGCCTCTCTGCACCGAGTGGACGTGCCCTACAGTCATCTGGCCAATCCACAAACCATCTCTGACCCAGTCGAACTACTACGCTCTCAAAGTGCAGATCGAGCTACGGTACTGTTACAAACGCGAATCAGGCTGGTGATCGGACGACGCCTTACACACGCTCAAAGGGCCTGCAGTTCTGCAAGTACAAATCTAGGGAACTACTCTCCCACCATAGGGGAGCGTGCGAAGTCCCTGTGTGCCGGACGGGGTGAAACAAAGGCGCGCCGCACACGGCGCACTTGTGGCGGCGGCGGTCACATACAGCGCACAGCAGCCACACCCGGCGGCAACCACGCAACGCGTATAGATGGATAGCCGCGGAAACCACACCCGGCGGCAGCCACGTAAAAGTACAGACACCAACCACGGCAGCAGCCGACATGTGCCCGTGCTCGTAAAGTGCTTCATTGTCGTACATGATGGTCACATCTGTGTGCTCCAGGAGGGAATGCACGCAGAGCACCGTGTTGTAAGGCTCAACCACTGCGGTGGCGACCTGCGGGCACGCCCACACGGTGAATGAACACTTCGTCTTCTTCCCGTAGTCCACGGACAGGCGCTCCAGCATCAAGCAGCCGAGCCCGGCGCCAGTACCTCCGCCGACAGCACTGTAGATAATAAGCCCTGGAGGCCGGTGCAGTTGTCGGCCAGCATCCTGATCCGATCGAGCACGAGGTCGACGATCTCCTCGCCGATCGCGTAGTGCCCGCGCGCGAAATTGTTCGCGGCATCCTCCATACCAGAGATAAGCTGCTCAGGATGGATCAACTGACGGTAAGTGCCTGTGCGTACCTCATCGACCACAGTGGGCTCCAGGTCGACGAATACACAGCGGGGGACATGCTTGCCGGCACCGGTCTCGGAGAAGAACGTGTTGAAGGCATCGTCGCCACCTCCAATTGTCTTTTCGGAGGGCATCTGGCCGTCAGGCTAGATGCCGTGCTCGAGGCAGAAGAGTTGTGCGGGGCGCTCAAAGGCCAGGGACTGGCCGCCCAGGGCCAACTGCACAGTCCCCAGAGCCACCGCACGAAACGCCAATACTGTACGCGGCAAAAGCTGACGAGGCGCATATGGCCTCGGAGAGGGCGCGCACGCTCGACTGACCACGCGAGCCAGCCTCCCGCGCATGGAATTACGGGCCGCTGCCCCACCACGCCCTCGGCACGCCCAGGCCACAACCCGGCACACGCACGAGGCGATGTACACCCACATCGGCCACGCCGATGCACAGACTGGAATTGCATACGGGAGCTCCTCAACTAAAAAGTTGAGCCAACGAAAGTTGGCGGGGGCCAACAGAGGGCCTACGGATGCCGAAGTTCGCCTAGCCACAGCACAGCGCCGCCGAAGCGCGCCGTCGCCGCCGCATGACACGCCCTGACGTCCCTCCGTTAGAACGCCACGAGCGCGGTGTCTCATCGTTAGTCGCTGCGCACGCCAGAAGCCACCGAAGCCGCGAGCCGGCGCCCGCGCGATACACGTGCACCCTCGTTGAGGAGATGAGCAACTGCACGGGCAGAAGAGTTCCCAACATGCGTTTCCAATCTGCACACCGGCCTGCCCGATGTGGAAGCAGATCGCCTCACGCATTGCGCCGAACGGGCCTCTTGACCGAGTTAAAGTCTGAGAGGGAGTGAATACTGGCAAGGCCGCCGCGTGATGTGACAGCCTCAATCGGAACCGCTTGAGCCAGGAGGAGCAGCATTGGCCACGGAGCTGCCCTGGGCAGTGAAGGAGAGATGAAGGCAAGAGGAACTCGTCGAGGGGACGTACTTGTGAAACCATGTTACCCAAACAGTGCTTGCACTTCGGGGTTCTTCCTTGCATCTCTAAGTGATCGGGTCGGTCCCCCGAGGTTTCACCACGTGGGCGCCTCGTGCACGCTCGTGGGCGCCTCGTGGGCGCCCCTTGCTCTGGGTGGGTTCGCCGAAGTTTCGCCGCGTGGGCGGCTCGTGCCCGTGCGCTGGGTGGGTTCGCCGAGGTTTCGCCGCGTGGGCGCCTCGTGCCCGCTCGTGGGCGCCTCGTGCCCGCTCGTGGGCGCCGCGTGCCCGCTCGTGAACGCCTCGTGCCCGTCGCATAGCTTACACCACGTGGCTTACACCACGAAGCTTGAAACATATACGTTGCACCACATAGCTAGCATCGCATAGCTCACACAGCATAGCTTGCACCGCCTAGCTTACACCACATACCTTACACCACATAGCCTACACCGCATAGCTTACACCGCATAGCTTGCACCGCATAGCTTTATCCGCATAGCTCAATCCACATCGCTCACACCACGTAGCTTACACAACATAGCTTTCACCTCTACAGTGCAATAACTAAGTGTTTGGGGCCCACGCTGGCTAACATGTGCATATTTCGATAATTTATTTGATTATAGAGCTGTTCGATTCAACATCAATCCACGACTGCCTCGGAGGAGCCACAGAGAGTCCCAGAGGGGCCCCAGAGGGGCCTAGGACACCAAGATGACCCAAGATCGCCCCGAGAGATTCCCAAGAGGTTTCCAAGAGCACCTCCGGGGGCACTGTGTCGAATGGGCGTCTTCATCGAGACGACGTCGGGAGTGAAGACTCGCAAGGCCGCCGCGTGACGAGACAGCCTCGATCGGGATCGCTTTGGCGCCGCGTGACGCGCGCCCCGCGCCGCGTTTCCGTGCTCGAGCGCCGGCCGCGCCAGACAGTCAAGTGCATGCCCTCCTCCTCCTCCTCCTCCTCCTCCTCATCATCATCATCATCATCGTCATCATCATCATCGTCATCATCATCATCATCATCATCATCGTCATCATCATCATGATCCCCCTCCTCGTCCTCCTCCACCTCCTCGTCCTCCTGCTCCTCCTCTTCATCATCACCATCCTCATCATCATCATCATCATCACCCCCCTCCTCGTCCTCCTCCACCCCGCTCGTATCTGCTCGGTGCCCACTGACGCGGGGTGAGAAAGGAGACTGAATATAATAAAAAGAAAGAGCAAACGAGAGGAGAATAACTACAACAGGGAGAAGAAGAGCGGTACGGAGGAGAAGAAGAAAAGAAGAAAAATATACAGGACAAAGGATACGGAAAGGCTAGACGGAGAATGCCCTCCTGCTCCTCCTCCTCGTCCTCCTCCTCCTTTTTTTTGTTTCTCTCTCTCTCTCTCTCTCTCTCTCTCTCTCTCTTTTTCTCTCTCTCTCTCTCTCTCTCTCTCTCTCTCTCTCTCTCTCTCTCTCTCTCTCTCTCTCTCTCTCTCTCTCTCTCTCTCTCTCTCTCTCTCTCTCTCTCTCTCTCTAGTCTCGGCTCGAGAGTGCCCAGCACTCAGACCGCAGCCGCGACGCGAAGCGCCCCGCCTCGGAGCCAGACTCCCAGGCCTCGCGAGACCGGAGGGGTCCCAGCAGGACCCTACTGATTCGCGTCACCTCTCCCCACCAGAGCGCCCGCAGCAATGGCCCCCAGTAAGCCGGAGCGCCGTCGCTCTTCCAAGCAGCCTCCGAGCTCACGTCCTGCTGCTGAAGGGTCTCTCCTCCAACGCAAGCAGGACTGCATCGCAGCTTTCAAGCAAGCGGGGTCTGACCGCCCCACGGCCGCATACAACGGGCTTGCCGAGCTGAACGCGGATGAGCTCCAGGCCACGTACGACATGCACAAGACCAACACGAAGAAGCTCGGCAGTGCCTTGATCCGCATGTGCGCCGCCAACCAGATCAGCTACACGCTGGATCACCACCAGCGCAGCAAGCCTAAGCGCATTGGCGGTGACACATCACACCCACCAGCTGGGTCCGCACGTCTTCAGGCTGCGGACACCCAATTCATTGCCTTGGACCCGGCCTTTTGGAAGGTCCCAGTCCTCGCCGAACCCACATCACCTGACGACGGCAAGACGTGCAAGCCCAGTATCAGCCTCCACGACTACGAGAGCGGTGAACGGCTGCTGCAACACCACCTCGAGCAGGGTAAGCGTACCACGGGTCAGCTTGCGATTGCTGTCATGGGCCCAAAAAACGATAACTACGTCGGTACCGAGCTCGCCGTCCCCGTGCTGAAGCGTCACCCCAAGGCGCCCAAAGTGGTCCACACGCACGTCCCCGTGACCGTGTACCAGCTGGGCACCAAGGAAGTCGCCTGCACGGAAAAAGTAGCCGTCGCCACCATCGACCCTGCCGACCACGTATGCTGGATTCGGGTGACCATACATGAAACCGAGGCCATCGCCGCAGTCCCCTCCATGCATCAGGCCTTCGAGGACCAGTTCTCGGGAGGTGCCCCCGTGAACGGTGGTCCACGCGCCAAGGGTCCTTTCCGAGGGGACTCCGCTCCACAGGACAAGGCGCGCCAAAACCAAAAGCACAGGGAGTCCAAGAAAGACGCTCGCCGCCAGGAGCTCGATAGTCAGCTCCAGGACACCTTCAAGGCCCTCTTCCACGGCAACTTTAAAGCCGTCACCATCCTCGAACCCTGCAAAAGCCTAGGCAGGTTTGGATCGGGCGTCGGAAAGAGGTCCCTGGCTGCCACCTTCGGCGTCAGTCTTCAAGCGGTCGACAAGGTCTTGGCGGGTTCAGGGCAACTCGGCGCCACCTACGACCTCAGCAACGTAGGTGCAGACGAGCCCACTGCAGACAAGTACCAGACCGTGTGGTTCCCTGAGGACCAGCCCATCACGATGGCAGATGCGTTCCAGAAGTCGGTGGATTTCAAGGCCCTGGGAGTCGTCAGGCACGGCAAGTCAGGCTTATTGGGGATCCGTGTTTCACGAGGGTCAGACGCCGCCAAGGCTGCTGCCGTCAGCATCCGCGGCTGCGAAGCCACCCTCGCCAAGACGCGCTACCGTATCACTGGCATTGCGGCACGCCACGCCACGCTGACCCAGCTCGCCAAGACTCTCACGGGCCCGTCCGTTAAATGGGACTGTGAGGTCTACCACACCGCCTGGGACCCAGCCACTTCGGCTCAGTTTGCCTTAGTGCGCGCCCATCGTCCCCCACTCACATATACGGTACGGGTCGCAGGGTGCCCCATCCCGTGGAGCATCACCGAGGCCCCGCTGGCTGAGGTGGTGCCGAAGAGGGACAACGTTACCATCGTCACGCCTACCACCATCACAGAGCCTGTGACGCCGCCAGCCCGTGGTGGCGGCTTCAGCCCCGCCACTGGCACACTCCTCACCAAAGCGGCCCAGAGCCCTTACCTCCACGACCTCATGACTGCCACGCCCAAAGGCAAGGGCGTCGCACCGCTCCTGATCCCCAAGGAGGAGCCTTTAGCCAAGCGCCACCGATCCTCCAGTGGGAAACGCGACGCCACGCCGCACGCAAGATCACACGGCGCCCCAGGCCGCAGCTCCTCTGCACCCCCGCACGGCACGGACGGAGCTGCCGAGCAGACGGCCGTCCAAGGATCAGGTGGTCATGACCCGCAGCTTGGCACGGTGGCGGCTGAAGGTGGGGGCCACACCGAAGGGGACGCTGCCACAGCCGCCGAAGTACCAGGCGACGCTGACGACGTCGAGATCCTCTCATCAGGTGATGAATACAGCGTGGCTTCCCACGAACTCAACACCTTCGGCGAACGCTTCGCATCGGCCCCTAAACTGCCAGATGCCGCCACGACCCGCATCCAACACATGGAACAACAGCACGAGCTGCTTGCCAACACGGTGGATAACATGCAGGTTCAGCTTGCGGGCGTTCTCTCCTCCCAGGCCACACTCACGGAGCACGTCTCAGGTTTGGAACGGGGGCTTGCCACCGTCGTCACCCAGCAACAGACGGCAACCGCCGAAGCCGCTGCACTGCGTGGCGACATCCAGTCCCTCCTCGGGCACCTCACGGGGGGCACCATCCACCTGCCACAGGTGGCCACTCTCGAAACTAAGAAGGAGGAAGCTGCATCAGTTGCCGATCCCGTGGTTGTCTGCGGGTGGA